TCGGCGCATCCGACTAGTATCAGCTTGTGTTTAGCTCGCGGTTAGCGCAACATTGATCCTTCGCTTATCTCGAAGCAGCTCACATCTCTGAAATCCTTCCGTTAAACACTTCAAATCACACACGGTATACAGCAACATTGTATTCAGAAGGCTATAGAACGGTTCGGCGTAGCGCCGCGTCACTTGTGGTTCACCATTACTCCTGTCCCTTCACGAATCCCCGAACAACAGGATTTTTCTGGCTGCAGCAAGAAGAATTTTGCCGAATCACCAGCCGTATCAAATGCCGAAGTCCGAAGTGGTCAGGTTGTCAAGTGGCGGCTTGAAATTGGTACCAGACTTGTCTGGGAGGATAAAAACACTGACTTGTACATCGGCTGGCCCCCGCAAGTCATTGTATAGGCCACATCGCATTCAAACGCCACTACGAATGTACAAATGGAAGTAGAATGCGTGCCGCATCCCAAAAAGGGATTGATCAACGGCAAATGCTTTATCCTTTATCCTTTATAAGACAATTTACAAAAAAGTTACCCTAGCATACGGGTGGCGCTATTTGGTAACGGGTGAATTGCATAACTTTCTTTAAATGAGAAGGCTGAAGCATAGCAAACACGAGACGTTTCTCAGGAAAACACAACGAGAAGAAGTCCAAGTGCAGTAAATTAGTAGAGAGGGGACATGAAATCTTGACCTTCGGTAGGGTTCTAGCACCTAGGGTTGAAGCTATACATTTTCACCTTTTCCCTTGGGAAAATTCTCTTTCTGGGAGTAATCATCGAACTCCAGCAGGATCGTGTGATAAATGCCAGCAAGCAGTTGCTCAGACCGTTTTTCATGCTCATCGAGCGCTCTTATCTATAAGGTTTCGGGGTATTTTTTTATCATCTCATTAATCTTATTTCATGTCATGAATAAACAGGTAAATAAGTATGTGTTTGAGATCCGTCTGCATTGACTGTCACATCCTTCGGTCCACTCTGGTTTTTCAAAGTACATTTACACTCAGCAAAAGTAGAAGGCGCATATCATGCCGCGATGAATAAATTCCCTATCCGTTTACCTCTACCATCTACCAATACTGTCAACACGTTTTGCTCTACTCGACACTCTCCTCAGCGCTCAGCTAGCATTGCTCATACTGGTTAGACACTCACTCTTCCAGAATCTTGGCGTCCATACAAGAGATACCCCATCAAATCACTTTCGTTCGCGTTCCTGTGAAACATCGCTCACGAGCTTGACTGCCATACAATAATCAAAGTAAAATCCAGAATTGGCATAAAAGACCTTCTTACCTCGATGTTTATGTGATCATCCAATAACTGATTTGATCACTTCAACCTGCTTGCGATAAACACACATTATGCCGATATCATCTTCATGAACACCATTCTAAAGGGGATTGCAATAAGTATTGCACTATAATTTTCCATGAAGGACATATTTGGTCGCATAACACGAGCCTGAAAATCTTCCATGCTAGAAAAATCCGCACTCTATAACCGCAGCTACGTCACCGAACCAGACGTGCTTCACCAATGTTGTGTATTAATCCACTGTCTGAGGATACAGCAGCAAATTCTGGGGTTGTTACTGCGCAAGTGTCCACAAAAACCAAAGCATCATCTAGGTGGCCGCTCTCGATTATCTTCCAAGAGCCTGCCGGCAAAAACCCACGACACATTCACACAATCTGAAACAATTCGCACGAACAACCTTCCGGTGCGCGTTTCACTGCTCGCAGAGATGATAGTGTTCGGTTATCAAACCTGGAAGATGCGCCTCCCACCAACTAGGTCAGCGCCTACCAACTCTTTAGGAACACGCATGCTCACGAACCACAACATACCGTCGCGACTCGAGGTCTTGAAGCCAGCCGTATTTTGCGAGGCAAGCCTGAGCGACTTTCTCATTGGCGCACACAAGGCGATCTCCATAGAATAAATTGCTGCTTAGCTTTGCGATCGTGCTGAAATACAAAAAAAAACTATCATTCAAAAAATATTAAATATGTAACTTGGAGTACCTGTTCATCCGCTATACTGTGACTCAAGAGAATGTTAGCCCTTTGATGCCCCTCTGAAGACGTCTCGAACAAAAAGAAACAGACCCCCTCTCCCTAAAATATTGTTCAAATATGAATATTTCAAAAAAACTATCAGAAATCGAAAAGTTATGACACTGACGAGCATTTCTATTCTTGACGAGAAGGCTGACAGCTTGCTTGCGCATCGCCGGACGAAGGACAAAGCGATGGCAGCAACAATATCAGAGAGTAGGACCGACGTAGCAGCCTACAAAAATTTGGGCACTATTTACCCTTTACTGCCCCACTCCCGAGAACTGAGCCGGGTTTTTATCGAAATTGGTCAATGACTGTGGATTTGGCTAGAAACTTGCCTTAAGGGGTAATTTGACCCGTAGAACACGAATATCATATCGGTTTAGCGCGAAAACGCTTGGCGCCCGCGCCAGAAGGGCCGGCGCCAAGCGCCCGCCATCACAACCGATGTGCGCGGGTGCTCGTAGCACAAGCTACAGACTCACTCGTAACGAACCGATATGATATTCATGTTCTACGGGTCAAAATACCTCTGAGGACAACTTTCCAGCGAGTTTGGGGGTCCGAGATGTTCTGGCGCTTTTTGGCGCCGGCCCTTCTGGCGCGGGCGCCAAGCGTTTTCGCGCTAAACCGATATGATATTCGTGTTCTACGGGTCAAATTACCCCTTAAGGCAAGTTTCTAGCCAAATCCACAGTCATTGACCAATTTCGATAAAAACCCGGCTCAGTTCTCGGGGAGTGGGGCAGTAAAGGGTAAATAGTGCCAAAAATTTTATACTGAGCATAGCCAAGGAGTGCGATGATATAATATGAATAATATCCCTAAATTTAAAAAAAAAAGAATAAAGAAAAAACAGGCAACACAAAAAAAAACAAGACAAATGAAGAATGGACACGGTTTTAATGCTCTAGCCGTCAAAACAAAAGCGTCGTTGTCCTAGGGCCAGCTGTGTCCCCTTTGAAAAAGAGGATTTGCTAGAGTCATCTCACTTATTCAAGCACATTTCAAGCTGGTACAATTTTCACCGCGCATAGGTGAGAAGCTCATAAATCAAGAAAATGCTACCAAAAAATTGAATCATCCTTAGCTGATCAATAACTTACCATAGATGCTTCATCAATGATACAGTAATCGAACTTTCTCCAGGAAAATAGCACGTCTCTAGGCACATAATGACATGTGCTGGCGACAAGAGGCTAAAAAATAAATATGAAAGAAACAGCGACGGAAAACGGAGAGACCAGCGGGAACGAGAAATTCGTTCATAATTCAAGCACCCTTCAGGAAGATGAGAAACAACAAAAAAGCTAACCGTTTGCTTCAAAATATTCCTAGCTGCTTTATACTTATCTTCTTCGGAACCCTTCAATTTTGACTCCAATGTAAGATCGGCGACACTGTCACGAACTGATGGCGAGTTGCCGAGCCGAAGTATCTTCGAACCGCTCGTATACTGAATATATTCATTACGTTCAATCAGAAGAATGGTGGTGGAAAGTGCTATCAAAACTACTTTTCTCAGCTTGGCCAGCACATTGTCGAGAGCGGAGTGAGTATTTGTAGCTAGCAAAACTGAGCAATTCATTTCAAGAAGGCATCGTAACAAGGCGACGATTGTAGTGGTCTTCCCTAAAAGCGCAGGAAGTTACTCAGCATCAGCTGCAAAATGTACAGGCTCAGCAGTGACACTATTCCGAAGTTCATTGTAGCAACGATCTTTGAAAACTGTATGTACCCTACTTTTCTGGAAATAATCACCTAATTCGTCGAATCTGCTAAGCCTACACAATCACAGGTAACATATTGAAGAATGAAGCTATGAACCTGATCCTGGAAATCCTTCTATCAAAGTGAAGTCAGTAGATAGAATTGCCGCTTGCACTGCGTTCCGCTGTTCAATGCTGAGTTCACTGGATGTGACACTGTCAGACAGTAGCTTTCGAACAGGAACAGGAAGCGTAGCGACATCAGGACATGGGTATGACGGAGGCGCGAGATCAATGATCAGCTCGCGTCGGCGAGCACTACAAAAAATTCAGAAAACTATAAGGTACTAATTTGATAATAAATCCAAAGCAACGCATTTTTATAAGAAGTTAAAGACTAAGAGCAAAGTAAAGTTGGCTACATGTATAGAATGTTTCACTAGAACATCTCTCATAATCGAGAGTGTAGACCACGATACTGATACTACTAGCAAAATGGCCTCAACATCTGAGAGAAACCGATGACAATTATTAGCAAAATAGCATCACCTGCATTCATTCGTTGCCATAAGAAGTATGAGATTGCCCAGAGTTGTGGATAAGTAGAAAAACTGCTATAAAGGTCAAGATGATAGGTCTCTTGAAGGTCGACCAGTCGGTCACTACGTACCGTCACGCATTTCGCTGAAATACCGCAAAATTTTTGAGGACGGCTCTGGTGATCAGGAAACGTTACGAAAATTGATAAATTCTCAAAAAGAGAAGAATAACACGAAGATTCTATTATTGGACAAGGAGAATGCTGATGTGTTTGAAGTGGAAACGCGTGCACAATGTTCCAGTCACAAATTGATTCAGAAATCGTAGTACTCCTGAACGGTACTCCATGAAACAGATACCATATTTATTGCACTCAAGAAGTAGAACAAAAGAAACAGAACATACCCTCCAAAGGTGAGAAGGTAAGCCGAGCAGCCTTCGGTGGAAACATTCACGTGCTTCAAAAGACGGAGATTTGACAAGCAAAACGCCTTGATCTCTCTGAATGCATGTGAGTTATCCTACTTCTATCTAACTAATCGTTATGGAAAGTGTTTACCTTTGTACTTCAGGTTTCTGCCAAAGGTCTTCTATGCGACTGCCCTTCCTTGCCTTGTCCTCAGCCCACTCCGAGTAAATCCAAGTAATCCACTTTCTTGAAGTAATCTGAACATTAAAAATATCAGCTGCTCCACTACACCGATGGCATCCGTGTGGTCTCACCGATATGCTTTGGAGTCAAGTGATCAGTTTTAGACTTGGCGAAACTCAGCATCACATTAGATGGCCTGTCGGTCGGTTCCACTGCAACCTGAGAAGATTTAAAGAAAGTAAAGTGTGTAATTAAATCTCTAACGCAAGATTACGCTGTCCCCTGTCAAACCATTTTTGGTAAACATGTATGAAAGCACATTTCAAGGTGAACCTTTGATTTTGAAAGAGCTATCCAACCAATGAAAACACATGGAAAAACAAGAAATAAAAAAATAAATTATTTGCGAATAACTGCGAATCTGTACAGAATTCCCCCGACCCCAATAAAACTGTAATATTGATCATACTAAAGCATGTCACACTTGTCAGAACTTGGGGTCATCTTTCGGTGCTGCAAGTGTTGCATTTAATTATAGAACTTGCCAAAATTTATAACAAACAACTGACCTGGTAGGAAATCCGGCTTCAACTTTGAAAGGTATGCTGCCAAGCGATTCCGCTGAGCAATTATACCCTTCATTTCCATGGCCCGTGGTTTTACGGTACGAGTGATCCCATCCTTTAGATATACCAAGGACTCAGCAATGGCTGCTTGTACTGTCGACGAAACAATCCGCGATAAAGCATCAGCCTAAAGTAGAAATCGAAAAAATATAAATGATTGAAAACAAAGTCAACAGCAAGAAAGGGTCACACCTGTGCGGCATGTTCCGAAGAATGTCCACTTTTGCCAGTTTTGAGCTCAAGTGATTGCTTTCGTCTTCTTACACCACATTTAACCTGACACATCAAATATTTATCACCGCTTCTCAACGGCACTGGGAATAGAAAGCCAACCTCTAGAGTGGCGTCTATTTTGCCTTGAGACCTAATTGTGGTAGCCCAATATTTTCTTCGATATCGTGTACCTGAAACTAGACTTATTTCGAGAAGAGGCAAGAAGTATTGATGAGAACGGAGAAAGCTTAGCCTTAACAGCTCGTAACCTTAGATATCGAAGTTGTAGATGTACTTTGATACGCTCTTCCTCCAGGCATGTGAATTGTATCCAATCTACAATAACCTAAAAACCCGTAAAAGCAGAACGGAGCAATACATCAAAGAAAATGCTAACTTCTAGATACGGCTCGAGTTCGGTTTCAAACTGCGAGGGCGGAAATAGGAGAGCAACCAACTGTGCAAGGACTTCGCTGCGGGTGTTTTCTCGCCCTTATTGAAGCAGCCAATCCCTGAGTAGACAGTGCGAGATGGACCACGAAGACTGCCTAGAAGAGCGCTTGTGACATTGCAACATAGCCGCTGCTATTCTAGATGTGAGACTTACAGCAGCACTGTCTTTCCATATGGCACAGAGATAGTGCGCTTCTCATTGTTAACAATATCTTGCGCAATAACATAAGTTTGCACCCATTCAATAAAAGTGAAAAAAACATGAAGTGTGCATCAGAGGGTTCTATATTTAACCTCAAACGAGTAAAAATACCTTGTCTCTGAAAAAATCATCCCAATCATTTCTCCTAAATATGAGCCCTTTCCGACTAATCGCCTATATTTCTGATGAGCTCCGTCAAATAAAAAACATTTTTCGATCTATAGAAGAGAAGAAGTAAAGAAGTTCAGATAAGGTAAAAGGCAACGCTAAAAATACTGAAGAAAGCTACCTGGAACATTTCGTGGACAATATTGCCTATAAGCATAGCTTTGTTAGCTTCAGTAGGACCGCGAAAGCGTTCGTTAAGGATGACCTGGTGCAAAGGAGTTAGAATTATCGACGAAAGAACTTGACACAACGAATAAAGCGAGAGAACAGAACCTTACGTGGACACCATGTAGCCCCAGCTATGCTTGTGCAGGGCACAAGTGTGTCTGGAGCAACAATCATAACGCCGTGCTCGTTTGAAACCAGCCAATCCTACAACGTGCAAAAAGCAGTCAACAGAGCTCCCACACAAGGAAAAATTACGCTCACGGAATCTCCCCAAGGTTTCGCACCAATCAGCCTGATTCGAGTGTTTGGTTCAACGTTTGTCTCAGCCCAGTGATCCTACAACAAGAGCAGTTACACTGATATACTCAGCAAACGTAAACACTAAGCTCAAAAAGGCTTCCGAACGATAAAGGCAAGTGAAAGTTGAGAAGTCTCAATTTACCTTAATAAACTTTTGACTGTTGGCCTTATCCGTTACGCCACAAAGATCCACCAGCCATTCCTCGTTTTTATTTACAAACTGTGACGGAGTACCTCACTCTTGAGTCCAGTTTTAGCGAAGGAAATCCATCAACACCGCTCTCTCAAAAGAAGGAAGTAAGCAAGGATAGGAAAAGCAGCGATCCAGAGGTAATGGGTAGTTCTCACTTACCAGTAAGACGCTCTTCAGTGAGACTTGTCCTATATTTCTCAGTCTCATTTGATAGAGTCATGGAACTGCTTTTCTAGAACTACCACTATCCCATCTAATAGTGCAAAGTTATACAGAAAAAAAAGATCACTATTCGGCTCCCCCACTTTCTTCACGATTTGGGGCGCGGCCGCGGCGAGCGCGGCCGAGTCGATAGTGCCCGCGAACTGTGTGGGTAAATTTGAAAACGCATCACCACCACAGTTCGCGGGCACTATCGACTCGTCCGCGCTCGCCGCGGCCGCGCCCCAAATCGTGAAGAAAGTGGGGGAGCCGCACTACTCACGTAAGGTGAAATGCTATACGAAGAGCTGAATGATTACGCGGATGATCTGACTTAGAATGATTCTTGCTAACTTCAATAGTTTAAACGATTGCAAAACGAAAAATCTTGAAAACGATCAGGAACTGAACATTAAGGTCCAGTATTGTGTGAAATTTTGAAATGCACAGCACGGCTATAATCGCACACACTCACTAAGTATGACGGGATCATCAAAGGAGTCGTTCAAATCCGAATTTTCTTTTTCAGCAACATGGTGCACTAGGGAACCTTGAGGACAGGCTGGTGCTGAAAGTTAGTGAAATTGTACAGCTGTGATGAGAACAACATAACCTTAAGAGCTGTTCAAGATCGTAAAAATGTCATTAAGTTTCTGAATAATGATTTGAACAACCTTCTATTACACACTCGACAAAATTACAGACCGTTCTTGATAGGTGATTCATCCCAGTCGGAAAAATCTGAGTGAACAGCTGCTTCCTTTTTTGGTAGTCTAAAACATCGAAATAATAGAAAAAACCGTAAATCTGGTCATGTAAAAGCAAGTACCGAGCGTTTTTTCTCATTGGCAAATATTCATGTACATGTTTAATTACCTTTTCAACGGTGTCGATTGCTTGCTGTCTGCAGCACTCTCGACAACATCCAATTTCTTCATCTTTTTCGTTGGTTCTGTTCCACTGGATTGAGCGTTGCTTTTTTCATGAGTGAACAGTGGACGCTTCTGCGTTGGAAGCCCCTGAAAAGAACAGTACGCTGACGGTACATCATCGTGAGTGCAAAAGTTACGGTTGAAAGATCTTGATGTGTGCGCATCTTCGAAAAAGCCATCTCACCGGAGGCTTGGAAGAAACGGTTCTTTCAGGTTTCTCTTTACTAATTGGTAATCGAACGCGTGTGTGTGTCTACGGCAAGATCTTGCTGAGATGGGATGAAAACGAAAACAGTTTTTGTGAGGGAATTACAGTCTTCATGCTGAATGCACGACATTGTATGGAAGTTGATGATATCTACAACAACTAAATTATTTCCAAGACATATTAGGCCTGCGAGCGAGTCTCACTGGCCGATGTCAGACTTTGCGATTGGAGCGATTGTGCACAAATTGCAGGAGCGACGGATCGCTTGAGCGATCCATCGCTGCGAGCGACGGGAGATTTACACGGCCGACCAACGATAATTCGGCGCCATCAGCTCGTGAAATAGCCGTACAATTCCTCATCTAGGCCGTCTAAACGTCCTAACTCTCTTGAAATGATATCTACTAAAAAAGGAAAAATTTCCGGTCTAAACCAGATCAGTATTGGGTTCAACGGGAAAGGAGATGGACATTCGGTGCCACACTTTGAGCTGATTATGCAGCAGCTATATTCTTTGCAGGGGAAGTATGCTAAAACGGTGGGAAGCGGTCCACGTCCCCATTGCATTCTCCCCCGTGTTGATGGCTTGAAAAGGGGCCTCCTTAGTTAAAGTAACTTCGATTGAGCACCTCCTTTCTGCTCGTAACTCGTAATTCAAGCCCAGCTAACGCCTGGCTTATGCTAAACATATAACTGCAAGCCCGGGACTAAGAATAATTCTTACCTGGGCTTCAATCAATCGCGCAGCTCTGGTGACCTGAACTGGGAAGTAGACAAAAAAGCCCCTTTGGCGGTTCCCCCCCCCCGGTGCCCCCCATGAAAGGCTGCAAAATGGGTTAAGTGTGAGGAAGAATGTGAGGGGGTTTTGAATATCAGAACTGCAGAAGAGCTAGTCCCATGCCTACTTCAAAGATATTTCTCTTGTTCCGTTACACTATTTTTCGAGCGATGATCATGTTTCGAGAAGACAGTATAGTATATTTTCGTCTGATAGTCTGAAGATGATTGAAGTAAAACTGCGCGACACAAATACGTCCATTGGAATGCAGTTCTGGTCAGATTCATAAATGCAAGGCATTATTGACCAATCACCTTCTTGACCGTTATTCTGATTCCTTGTAGCTTTCCATTGCAGTTCTTCATGTATTGTATTAAGGAAGGCTGCTGTAAAATGTCAAGAAAAACACTCATAAGAGAAAACACTCCAGACCCTGGAAACTTGGAATAATTTCCATAACGAACTGTAAGAAATTGTTTACAGATGTCGAAACTTCTGCTATATACACATATGGACATCAGGGAACTTCTTCCACTGTTTGTGAAGGCAAAATTTCGGAAATAAAAATCGAAATAAGATCGAAACATCTTTCTTCAAGATTTCGGTTGATATTCACCTTTTCGCGCTCTCCTAACCCGTATCCGTGCCTCTGGAGGCGCGGCGACGGACTATACAATCGTCGGCTAATGAGGTCACGCCGCTCACGCGGCGAGAATCGTCGCGTGCGGCAGTTGCTGCGGCGATTTCTGTGTGGACCTTTTCTTATCCATCCATGCCCATAAGTTGGCTAGGTGACTGATAACACCAGAGTGCTGGACATCAGTAAGCCAGCAAGCGTCACTGTATCCCTGCAGTGATTTAAGCCTCGCAGTACAAACTTTGTACCGTGTAAAGGTTGTCCTTTTGGATTTAATTTGACTTCTTTATTAATCAGTTTCCTGAATTTCTATCAGAGAGTGATAATCTGGTTCAATCGGAAAGAATATTGCGTATCAAGACACAGAGTAGCGGCGAGGAAGGCTCTAACATAAGCATGATATGATAAGTATGTAATAATGGCGAGCGAAAACGAAACTGCATTTTAAAGGGTAAGGTGGTTCCTATTTCATGTTTCATTACTGGAAACTTAATCTAATCTTACATTCTCCAATGTTTGAATGCTGAGCTCTTTGCAAATTCGCCGCGATATTGCTGGCTGCGGCGGCCGGCGCGGCGACCTACTTACTGCCACGATTGTATAGTCACGCACATGAACCGGAGCGCCGAATCTGTTGGTCTGGTGCATGGGAAAAGCAGGACGGGAAAACAATTACCATTCCTATGTGCATTTTCAGATACTCTCTTATTGAACGCTTTCTTTGGGTTTACACCGTTGTGGTGGCTTCCCTCACAATACTTCGTAATTCAGATTACGGAAGTTCCTGCAAATTCAAGTTTTTGAAGGGGAAGGAGCTCTAGGGTGGCTGAAAACGAGTTTGGTGGTTTAAAAATGGAACTGAATAAGTATAACTTTTTCGGAGATTGCACAATAGAAAAGAAGTCAGCAAAGGGTTCGGCCTGGTAACAGCTATCCAATTTTTTGTAGGGAAGGCCTATGCTATCAGGGGATCAAGTGAATATCATAATGTGATGCTTGTCGTGGTTGTGGAAGTTTTAAAGGAGGAATTCACGATTAGAATGAAGGTCGAAGAAGGGGAATTCACCTAGTTGGGAGACAGGCGGACCTCCTGAGGGTGCGGACCGACGCGCAATTGGCAGCGAAAGATTTGACCTCGGCGATCTAGCATGGCTCACTCTTGGCGCAGTTGGCGCGGTACGCCCACCGACATAGCAGAGAGAGCGTTAGCGTTGAAGAGGGCACGATGAGAGTCGCATCAATGCGGAAATCAACGGGCAAGGAAGGGGTCCCATTTCTCGGGTTCTGGGCCGTTTCTCATGGTTTTTCCTTCTTTCGTGTACCACTCACCATCCCTAGGTTAATTTGAAATGGGTTGCTTTTCCATCGTGAATTCGTCCTTTAAGTGCTCTGCACGTGCCCCCGCACCGGTACGATTGGTCTGAAGTCCTGCTCTCAAATGGTGGTACCAAAGTGAAAAGAGAGCGGTGCCGGATGAAGGTGTTCCTCAATTTGCATTGCTCACCTTTTTCAGTGATGGGGAGGTATTCATGGTCTTGAAAAAGTAGAATGACAGAAAAGTATATTTTCAAATTAGCCACAATTCAGAAATGACAAAAACTGCATTTCTAAATGGACACAATTCGAATACCATCGAATCCAGATCCACTGAAAGTATTTGTGGCGAAGACTTCGAAAATAAGGACATCTTTTCACAAGGCATAAAATAGAGCAGCAACAATG